AGTAGTCGAGGGTACGTAATACTCCGATCGCAAGCCTGAGCTTCCGACGTGCTCGTAGATATGGAGTCGAAGAATTCTCCTGTGGACCTTTTCCGAGGTCGACAAATAGTTGCACGTATTCAGTTTGCGGTTTAGGGGTCAAGGGGGCGCTCCAAGTTTATGGAATAATGAAGACATATCCATGGATGAATCCAGTGGAGACTCATGTTGATTCGGGATAGGGCAAGTCTAGCCGCCCCTTTTGTGGTTTGTTTACTTTGCCCCTAATCGCAACATGGCTCTTTAACCAAAAAAAACGATGGAAGAGCCCCCAAGCCCAATAACGAGGCAAATATCCGTCCATGCTGGTGATGGGCCTACCAACTTTTGCTGTTCAATGCCCTCACACAGTGGCCGAAGCGGGCCTGGCAGGAATTGCTTCCATCTTCTGTGGAGGGGCCTTCAACAAGCCGCATCTCAACCCCTTGTGCCCCTCCTCCCGAATTTTGCAACGACTCTCCACGCCTCTTCCACCAAATCAGCACACGTCATCACGACAAACACTGCACCAGACCGTTTCGATCTGGACTCCTTCTGAGGGGCTTCCGAAGGGAGACAAGGCGCCAAGGGGACAGCAGCAGCGTCTACAATCGACATTTGGAGGCGTTTGGATGATAGCAAGAGAGTTTGAGAAGTTTGTAGGTGCCAACAATTTTTTTGACAAAGCCAGACCAAAATGCACTGACAGCAATTGAATTTGTTCCTACAGTCCTCACGCCACGGCCAGCGGGAGATGCAGCAGGCGCACGGACCACAATGGCACACCTCCACGGCGCCCTACCATCTGCAGGTAGGCAGCAGCCTCCGTATTTTTGACATCTTCACCTTTCTCACCATCGTCCCTCATGACTGACTGACTGTCCGTCGCTGCCATGGCAGTTGAACACGATGTAGACAATCGCTTCATCGCCGCTGGCTGCCTGATCTTGGACTACCCCCTCTCCTTCCCTCCACCTGCACAGTGGCACCACCTTTGCAACGGCGATGAGTCGAGCGGCTTCCACAATCATGAGAATCACTCGCTCTCGTCCCGATGGGGGCTCGACGAGGACATGCAGGCAGCCCTCCTCGCCTCGGACGTGCTCAACCCCTTCGCCGCACTCTTCGCCGCCGGTTGGATCCATCTCGCCGTGGGTCTCGGAACCGACGAACCACATTTGTCGAGGGCCGTCGTCCGCGTCTACCTCCTCCCCGACGACCTGGACAATGCCAGCATCCCTCGATCGCACAAGGGCCTGAGGAAGGCTCGCGTCGAGCTGATCAAGCAGCTGGACTATTCCAACGGCACCTGGCACGGAACCCTCGGGGCAACTCGTTCCAACTTCCCCGGTCTCTTCGATCAGACAGAAGGGGCCGCCATCCAAGACCAAACACTCATCAAAATGTTTAACCGGACTCCGCAGCCGCTCCCGGATCCGGGCTTGATTGACGAGTTTTATGCCCGCGAAGCTGCGATCAAGATCCTGGACGACACCGTTCCCGGAGTCACGACAAAGCTCTACCCTTACCAACGACGATCAGCCGCATTGATGCTCCAGCGGGAAACAACCCCGGGACTCATTGCTGACCCTCGCTACGTCAAGGTCGTGGATCAGAATGGCCAAGCGTGGTATCTTGACCCCGTCGCCGGGGTCGGCGTGCGGGAGCCCCGCCATTACGAGGGTCCCCGTGGCGGCATTCTGGCAGAGCAGATGGGCTCTGGGAAAACATTGATCTGCCTCGCCCTGATCGAAGCAACCAAGCACCTGGCCTCACGTATCCCCGAGCTGCATATAAAGACCTTGGTCCGACCAAAGATCGCGAGCCTTGCCGACATGGCTGCGGCCTGTGCCACCAGCAACTCAGTGCCCTGGAGGAGCGTGCTCCAAGACGTCGAAGCTGGCATGGAGTATCCCAACTGCGTCGAGATCATCCGCCGGAACCCGGGACGGTACATGCTGTCTCGTCCATCGCAGCGTCGATCCCGTGCTGTGGAACAGAGCCCGGTCGCCGTCTACCTAAGCCACACCTCGCTGGTCATCGTTCCGGCCAATCTCATCTGGCAGTGGAGCGGCGAGATTAACAAGCACACCAAGGGGCTGAGGTTTCTCATCATCGATGCCGGGAAGCCAATCCCTTCTGTGGACGAGCTACTCGATTTTGACCTGATCCTTTTCTCCAATACCCGATTCGAACGTCTCATGAGCGAGGCTGTGACCACAGACGGCAGCGGGGCGCAGGTTCTCAATAGCCCTCTCGCGCGAATCCAGTTCAAGCGTGTCATTGTCGATGAGGGCCATAGGTTGGGCAGCTCGACACAGGCAAGCAAAAGCGACTTGCACCTCATCATCAATCTCTTGCAAGTCTCGTCCCGCTGGATCGTCACGGGCACCCCGTCCAAGGGGCTGATTGGTGTCGACGACACCACCGAGACGGTCAGCCGCGCCGATTACGGTGTTCTTGAGCGAGAGGATCTGAAGCGTATCGGATCCATCACGAGTCTCTACCTCCACATCCAGCCTTGGGCAAACGAAGATGTCTGGAAGGGCGATAGGCTGACCAACTGGATGGCCTACGTCCTGCCGCCAAAGCCGAACAAGCCCGACGAGTCTCATCCCGGCCGGGTGCACTGCTTGAGGGAGACCCTCGCAGCTGTTGTTGTCCGCCACCCGCTCTCGGAGATCAAAAAGCTGCTACCCACGGTCGAGGAGAAGATTGTGTACCTTGACGGGTCGTACCAGGACGTTCTCGCGCTCAACATATTTGCGATGATGATCATTTTTAACACTGTACAGTCGGAGCGAACAGATCGCGACTATTTCTTCCATCCCTACAACCGCAAGGCGCTGGGGGAGCTCGTTTCTAACCTGCGGCAAGCCAGCTTCTTTGGCGGCGCATTCTTTTCTCCCGCCGACATCGCGCGCGCCACCGAGACGGCGGAGCAGTTCCTCGCCGAGAGCAAAGTGCCCGTCACCGAAGAAGACCGGGCTCTGCTTCTCGAAGCCCTCGAGTTCGGCCGCATTGCCCTCCGCAACAACATCAAGGAGTGTGCGTACACCTTCAAAGAGCTGCCTCTTTACGTTGAACACTTTCCCTTCTCCGCGGGCAAGGAGTGGTCCCTCGATCACCGAGACAATGATCCCGTCCTGATGGACTCGAGCCTTGTTCTCGCACTGCAGCAATACCTCCAGCCCTATGTCGACTCTCCTCGTTTTCTCAAGAAGCTTTTTAACAGCGGTGATTTTACCGAACGCGGGATCGAGGCGCGGTCCGACGCTCTCGGAGCGCATACATCCATTGGGGTGGCGACAGCCCCCAACCCGACCCGACCCGCCCTCGCCGGCCAAGCGCAGCTCGGCAGCCAAGACGCCATCTCACCCAAGAAGCGCCGATCCATGGGGAACGGCACACATCTCCGAGCGCAAACCCACGAGACCCCTTTGCCTCCCAACAACAAGAACATCGCGCCGGCGCTCAAGCAGACTCAGCTCGTCTCCACGGCATCCGCCAAGCTCTCGTACCTGCTTGACCAGGTCCTGAAGCACTCCACTGAGGACATCATCATCTTCTACGAGAACGAATCACAAGCGTACTACATCGCCGGCGCGTTGGAAATCCTCCAAGTGAAATACCTTATATACTCCAAGGGCATCTCGGCTGAGCAAAAAGCCCGCAACGTCACACAGTTCACCGAGCACCACAACAACGACTACCAGTACGTCCCTCCCCCCGTGTCCACCCACCCCCATACTAACCCCCTTCCGCCGCAGCGTCCTCCTAATGGACCTCTCCCAAGCTGCCTTCGGCCTCGACGTCCGCACCGCCTCACGCATCTACTTTGTCACGCCCGTCCTCAACCCGCAGGTGCAGGCGCAGGCCATCGGCCGCGCCGTGCGCCTCTCACACGCCAAGCCGACGACGGTCGTCGAGACGCTGGTGCTCCGTGGGAGCCTCGAGGAGCTGCTGGTGCAGCGCAGGGAGCAGATGTCGCGGCCGGAGCAGTGGAAGTGTCGGAGCGTGCTGGACGATCGGCCGATGTATGAGTGGATTCTGAAGGCGAGGATACTACCGCTTCCGAAGGGGGTAGAAGGGGGACCGGGGGAGATGTCAAAGTTAGAGGGGGGAGGGGGTTGTTTTGGAGGGGGGAGGAGGGCGAGGGGATGGAGAGGACGGAGGGGGTGGTGAAGGGGGAGAGCATGGATGGGGTAGTAGAGGGGGCGGAGGGGGTTGCCGAGGTGGCGGCGAGTGTAGGGTTGCAGATGCTGTTGTTGGGGGATGAGGAGGAGTACGATGAGGAGGCGGATGGGGACTATGTGGATAAGGAGGAGGAGGAGGTAGAGGAGGAGAGGGATCCGGATGGTCCGAGCCCGAGGAAGAAGGCTAGGGTGACGTTTGTGCTGCCTGGCGAGGAGGAGGATTAGACTTTTTGACGGCAATATCGGGAGAGATGGGAAGGAAAGTAGAAGGTGACATAAGAGAGGGCGGCCTGAGAGAGGGTGACCTGAAAGAAAGGGAGGCGTTTGTGGCGTTTTACGGCGAGACGGAGGAAGTGGGATTACAGCCTGTTCGGCGATGGCGCAATGGTACGGGTACGTGGAGGCGAAGGATGGTCAGTGGCTTTGATGTGGGAAGGGGTGTAGTAGTTAGTGGGAATATATACAGGAATACCATTCCATCGTTTACTTGTCCGTCTGTCTGCATGTCTTGATGGGGGGGTACTGTCGTCAGTCGGACAGCCCTCGTCAAGGTTGCTGGTTGATGAATTGCTTGGCAGTGTGTGAGAGCCGTGGATTGATGTCAGTGGTGATCATCCCTATTTATATGTACCACGAAATGAATATTCGCCGGTTTAGGCCTTTATATTGGATGTGTTGATCAGGGCATTGAAATGAACCGGGCGAAAGAGAAAAGGGGCAAATTTGTGTGTGAAGCTGTTATAGACCCGCCATAGATTTTGTTAAGCCACATTTCAAACACCCAATGGCGTGGTGGCAGAGTGGTCTAATGCGCTAGACTTGAAATCTAGTTCCTTCGGGAGCGCCTGTTCGAACCAGGCCCACGTCGAATAGTTTTTATTTTTGGACTTTTGCTGCTTGATAGTAGAGCGGTTCTTTTTGGTGCTCTCGTACATGGGGGTTCTGCAATCTAGTGTTGATTTGGGCGATGGCGAGAGGCTCCTCTAGTTATCTGTTGCCAACGCTTGCAGCCCCCTTGACACTCCCACTCGTGCTCTTCAGTAACTATTATTTTACCTACAACAAGCAACACCCAAAAAGCAATATTCACCGCTGTCTCCCGAACAGCCTGCCTCCACAAAGCAAGTATTGCGCTATACAGGGGCTGTATCATAACATAACTGCAACCCCTGGACCCTCAGAGAGACATCATTCCGACGGGTCGAAGGATGAGGCATTATGGAATTCACCTCTGGAGTACCTGTTGCCAGGTTTCCACAGTTGATCAAACCACAGTCATAAGCTACCATTGCCCCAACGAGCCTGTCCGGTTTTTTGAAATCTGGTCCCCAATTTCCATCCTTGTAGTAGGGTGCTGCCTGACCAGGCCGCGTTAGTTTCCCATGCCACGGAGCTATGCCATAAAACACCTGCCACCAGTCCAAGATGACGCAGAAAAACCCTGAGGGTAAAGAAGAAGCTCAAGAGTTAGGATTTCTCATTGCTCTACACAACCAGACCCTCCCAAAACGCCAACAACTCCCCCATGACCCCCCTAGTGATGCAACACCCCCCCACCCCTCCCCTTCTCCCACCCCTCCACCCCCTCCCTCACCCCCAACCAATACCTCAACCTAACACACTCCCTCCTCGCCCCCTCCACATCCCCCGCCGTCAACGCCTCCCCCACCCTCCCCTCCGCCTCCCTCACCCTCCCTTCATTCTCGACCCTCACCCCCTCCAGCTCCCCCTCCTCCCTCGCCGCATCGATCGCCTCCCGCGCCTCCAGCACCGCCATCAGCACCTCGGGGTCCTCGCCGGGCCCCGTGCTCTCGTCGCCCGCCAGATCGACCCCGTGCCGCTCGCGCAGGATGTACTCGGCGCGCAGGAGGGGCGAGCACAGCGTCTTGAAGGCGGCGTTGATCTCGGAGGAGGCGGCCTGGGCGTCGAGGCGCGTGGAGCCGTGGTGCTGGTGCAGGTCCGGGTGGGAGCGGGATTGCAGTCGGAGGAACTCGCGGCGGAGGGTGGGGATGTCGATCTCGAAGGGCCCCGTAGGGGGCGGGCCGTGGGGGAGGGTGAGGGGGAAGAGGGCGTAGTAGGGGAGGGGTTTGGGTTGTTGTGGTTGTTGGGGTTGTTGGTCTTTTGGGGGCGTGGTGGTCGCGGAGGGGGAGAGCCAGCGGCGCGTGGCTGGGAGGGCGGTTGTCTGGCGAGAGGCGGTGGTGCGATTGCTTGGGGAGGTTGCTGTCGAGAAGAGGGCTCGCCTCGTCGTGGGTGTCGCGCTGCGACAGACGGCGCAGACCCAGGTGGCGGCGCGACCGGAAGGCAGCGGGATTGAGCGTCTCATGTTTGGCCTGATTGCGAGGGCAGATTTAGGTTGAATAGAGGGATAAATAGCTCTCTCCCATGTGGTGTGGCGCGTCGAGTTGTCGGTGGTAGCTGTGGAGGAGAGGATGCATGGATGTTCCCGTCGACAAAGGTTTGGATTTGGGACGGAAAAGGAAAAAAACATGACGTCGCTGGGGTCAAGGGAAAATTGCGCCCCCCTGTCGGAACCCCACATCGCCGTTGTCAGGTCCATCTGATAAAAATGCTCGGCGCCGAGACTAGGAGGAGAACATCTCGCCCCTTTCCATCAACCAAAACACCCCCTTGCTGTCAAAATGATGGGATAATGGTATTTACGGCAAGCTTGTAATGGCTCTATAGACGGCATGAAAGACTGGTTCCCAACTGACTCCTGCAAATGAGAGAATTAGACAACTCTATCCGACTGTTCATCTCCCCATCTAAAAATGATACAGTACAAGGTACCCAGTCATGATCTCTCTCATAAATTCGTAAACCAGCCGTGTTCCTCACATCCCCATAAATCCTTTTAGTTTCCGCCATTTCCCCATCCCATCTGCCCAGAAATAGATGACCCTGATCCAACTCAAGACAGCTCCACCCCCTTCCACCGCCCCCTCTCCACATGCAACCACCTCTCCCTATCCTTCTTCTCCGCCACATGTACCTCCTGCGCATTCCACCGTCCGCAACACCCCGACCTAATCCTCCTCTCCCCATCTCCCTCCCCTGCCTTCTCTTTCCTCGACGAACCCCTCCAGCTCCTCTCCACCTCCGGCTTTGCCACTGCCAACCCCTCCCCGCCATCTCTCATCATGTCCGCAATGCCCACTAACCCACCGCCCTCATCCGTCCCTCCGTCATCCGGCGTCAGCACGTAGCTGATGCGCGACCCCGCGGTGCCGAGGAACGCGCCTACACCATACTTCTCCACGACCCTCCCGCGATCGTCAATGACGTCAATGCAGAACCGAGGGTACCGCCGTGCCCCTTCCAGTCTGGCTTGCGCAGCGAGTCGCGCCTGATGCAGATCGCTGTTGTCACGGGGCATCATGAGCGCGTCGAGGGACGCCGGCGGACTTGGGTGCGGCCACGTTGCCGTAGAAAGGCTGGTGCCGCTCATGCTCCGTGTGTGGTGCTGGGGGCAGTTGTCGCTTGACGCCGATCGTGCGTGGTGAACAAGTCCGCGCCCCAGCTGTGGGGATGACAACGAGTGGCCGTGGCCCCAGTCCTGTCCCGCTCGGTAGCGGTCGATCGAGTCGGATATCCGGTTGCGGGGTCGACACAGAGCCTGGAAGATTCCTTTGGGGTCGTTGGGGGCTCGGATGGCGCGCAGCGCGGGGAAGCCGCCGGCACGGATCGACTCGGCGAGAATCCTGTCGGCTGTGGTCGCCCGGGTCGGCAAGTAGGGGATATCCCAGTGCAAGCGGCGGAGGGAATGGGAAGCGAGGTAGGGAAACAGCCAGACCAGCTCGTCGGTAGGCATGATGGGCGCATACACCTGGCAAATGTTGAATGTGTCCAGCCGCTTGAGGTTGGAGAAGAGGCGGGCAAGGGCGGGGAGGGTTTCGACATTCATATGATGGAGAGTGAGGGTCGTGAGGTTGGTGCTGCCCGCGCGTGTCGCGAAAGCGGAAAGTCCGGCCGTAGTGACACCAGGGAGTCTCGACAGCGTGAGCTTTTTCAGTGGTGGAAGTGACGCAAGTGTACTGTCGTTGAAGCTGGCGCTCGGTAGGCTGGAGATGTGCAGTGTCTGAAGAGATGGGAGGTACCGAAGAGCCTGCTCGAGTGCGCCGGGCGCCAGCGTCGCCCCTGGCTGGCCGTGAACTACCAGTGTGGTGAGATTTCGCCAGTTCAGATGAAACTCGGCAAAAGACTGGAAAGATTCTCCCACGGGTGTGATGCTCTGCGATCGAGACTGGCTGAACGACCGCCTCCTGGACCGGCGTAGTGGGTCCCCCCCGATACCATACGATGGGTTTTGGCGGGCTCCAAGATCCAGTTCATGTCCTTCAACCGCTTCCGGGTAGATAGGGCCTGGAAAAGTCGCTGAAACGAGTGGTCGTGCCCGGGATAGAACCCCACGAGTCGCTCGAGACTTGGGCAGGCCATCACGACGGATGCTACCAGGTCGTTGTACTCGACCGACCCGACTCCCAGGGGCTTTGCCGGCGGCTTGATCGATCGTACAATGACGGCAATCCGATTATTGACCCGCAGTGTGCGGCGCAGCAAGGTGAGCCGACACCCATGGTCCATCTTCATCCTCTTTCTCATCTGCGGCCCTTCGTCTCCCACGAGGTATATGTGCTGATAGAGAGCTTCCCGTGCGTACTTGACAAACTTGCGGCCGCTGAGGGCGATGGCGCAGCAGTCGCGCATCCAGCAAGTCTCGCAGCTGTCGCCACCGGAGCGTGTGTGGAGGGCGCGAAGCTCTTGGAGGATGAGCTCCAATACATCGCCTGGAAGCAGCGAGAACAGCTCCCCAGGTCTCACCTGTCGTCGGATCGTCTTGATCGGAGCCGGCCTCTGCCACGGGTATCCTTTCAGCTGGTAGTGCGCAGTAGAGGGAGATCGAGAACCCGGACTGTATGGGGGCAGCGAGTCGAGACTGGTGCGGCTGCTGCTGAGCGATGCACTTTGGTGCCGGCTCTCAAAGCTCTCGCGGCCCCAAACAATGCTGCTCCCTGTTGAGCTGACGCTGCTGCTTGAATTCTGCCTTCTGTGAACCTGCAGAGTGGGGCGCTCCATGATCGCTGGGGCAGGTGGCGGCATCGGCGGTGGCATACTCCTCGGGATGCCTGGGGGAGGGCCAGTCGGACGGGGAGTCGGAATGATGTTCATCGCCGACGCGTTCATATAGGACAACGGTAGCAAATTTGAGTGGGCGTCGGTTATCTGCTGCATTTTGGCGCTGGCCCTCTGGGTCCTCATCGCAAACTCGTGATCCCTCGGGTGGTAGATGGCGACGGGCTTTGCGGGGCCAAGGGGAACAAGGAGACAGGGAATCAGGGGTTCGGTGGTCGCCATTGGACCGTGGACTGGGCACCCTTCGTCAACAACCAGGTTGTTGCGCTGTTGTACCCGTGGCCTCAAATTCTCATCATTGTGGCCGGGCCAGGACGGATAGGCTTGCTGGAGCTCGGGGCCAGCAGAGTAATGTCGCCTGTGGTCGTATGGTCTGTTCAAGAAGGCGGGAGGAGGTCTGCAATGATGGGGAGACACAGTTGTTCGTTAGTTTCTGGGGTTTGGTAACATGATAAACAGATATCCATCCATCGGAAACAGAGACACTGGGGGAGACAGTGTAGGCAGACGTCCTGACAAGATGTTTAAATGACAGGAGCTTCAGCACACCGGCACAGCCTCCCAGGTGGGTGTGCTGGCATGCAGAGCCTCCATGGGACCCGACGCGTCACTCGTGGCCCTCGATGAGCACACCCACACGTCCACAGCGTCGGGATCCGGATTGAGTGGTGGACAGTCACCCCGGACCCAGCGCTTGCTGGAAGCCTTGCAACTATTGGCGGTTCAGTGTAGACA